GTGGCAGTAATTGTTATGTTGTATTCTGAAACTTTCTCTCGGTCCAGTTCACCCTCAGTTACCAGAGAATAATAGTTTTTAATAGACGGGACTAACTTGAAAGGAACAGTCTGCTGAATAGAACAGCGGGCTTGACTGTTGGCTTCAGAATCTCTGTCCTGTACGTTTATGATGCCGACTTCTGTACCAGGTGAAGTGTTTTCGGGAATGGAGGTGCTTAAAGGTTTGAGAAATATAACAGGTGCGTTATCATTTATGTCAGTAATTTCAATTATAACCTTCGACTGAGAAGCTAACCCAGCTCCGTCTTTAGCCTGAATTCGAATTTCATAATATAATTCGTCTTCGAAATCGATAGGGCCAGTTACTTTAATTTCTCCGGTTTTGTGATCAAGATCGAACAGTTTCGCTGCTTTATCAGAAATACGAATAAATTCATACGTCACTTCTCCATTTGTCCCCTCGTCTAAATCTCTTGCGCTAACTTTTGCTACGACTGTATCCAAGGGTGAATTTTCCGCAAGATTGACTTTATATATACCCTGGCTAAACACAGGGATATTGTCATTAATATCCACCACTATGACCTGTATAGCTACAGTACCGGTCTTCCGTGGAGTTCCTCCATCTGATGCAATAAGTAACAAAGTAATCTCCTGCTGCTTCTCTCTGTCCAGTTCTTTCTCTAATACCAGTTCACCGTATTTACCTCCGTCTGTACTGGTATGAACAGCAAAAGCAAAGTTTTCATTTTTATTAAGTGTATAGCTTTGTACTGAATTCAGTCCTATATCTGGGTCGTGGGCCTCGTTCACTGGGTAGCGGGTCCCTATAGCTGCTGACTCCGTAATGTCTAGCTTTATGAGATCCTTAGGAAATCTCGGTGAATTATCATTTATATCTTGGATTTGAACAACTATACGATGCAACTCCAGTGGATTTTCCAGTACAAGCTCAAAATTTAAAACACATGTAGCCTTTTGAGCGCATAGCTCCTCTCTGTCTATTCTTCCTGCAATAGTCAAATCGCCGGTGTCCAGATTAAAGTCACAGTACTGTCGGCTCCCTTTAAAATCTACACGGGCATTGCGGGCTTTAATTTGTTTAACATCGAGTCCTAAATCACGCATTAGATTCCCAATCACAGACCCGCGTTTCATTTCTTCTGGAATAGAATAGTTTACATCTCCAGCACTGATATGCAAGATTACGAAAAAGAAAACAAAACAATGTACCTCCCTTGAAACAGAGAATCCTTTGTATTCCAGGCCCATATTGAATCGATAGGAGATGCTTATTTTTCACTTTATTCCAATTGCATATTTGTCATACGTATTTCCCATATAGAATCGCGTCGGTCTTTGATTACAACGAAGTCCGGAATGTAAAAAACGTTGATAGAATCCGACTGGTTCAGAGGTTTGCGCTGTTAATCGGGTAAGGCGTCTGCCACTGTACCATGTATCTGTACAGTGGGAGCGAATGTGGATTTTACTCCCCCTTGTTGGTGAATAGCGACACCATGAGTTGTACTATAAAGCTACAGAACCTGTATTTGCAATTACTCCAAGAGTATTAGTAGCAGAAGCAGTAGTAATTTAATAAAACATAAGTATAGTAATACCTAGTAATTGACCTAACAGGCGATTAAAGTTCTTCACAACACGTGGAATCTTGAAAACAGCCTTATGAAATCGGTTTACAGGGGAAAAAACACCGCATAGCTTAATAACATGAGCATTGCACCTTGAAACGCTTAGCGAAGTGTTTGCGTAGAAAAACTTTTTTAAAATGGTCTAATAACCACATTACATACATTTTCTTATTGTTTAGTTGTTATACCCCTTTTCAAAATATTGGTAATATCAAAATGATGATGGTGATGATGCTGACTCAGTATATACTACTGTACCTTTTATTTAGTAAGAAATTGTAGGACTATCAAAAAGTAAAGAACCACGAATTCAACATTAAATGTTCTGAAATTATCGATAACAAAAGAAACGGTTACATAAGTGAAGCTAATGTTTCCTACCTGACATGCCACTTCAGTTCCATTATTTATCATCCCTTTCCCATCTCCCTCTTCGTTTCCCTTCATTTTGATTGCATAATCAACGGGTAAAGTGTTCTCAGTGTAAGAGCTGACGAACTTGAAGTCGCTCGTGGCAGAGCCCGTTGTTAAGAAAGCGTCATAGTTGTAAGAATGACGCAGTGTTCCAGAGCCCTCGACTTCCGCATAGTTGGGTGGGAAAAACGCACCGGGAATGGCGACTGCACTGTCAAGAAACATCCTGGGCTTTCCTCCACTGCAAAACCTGACCGCCAGAATAATTGTAATGAAAATCAGAAAAAGAAAAGAAACTGCAGCCAGAGCGATAATCAAATACACTGTTAATTTTGAATTGCTGTTCTCGGCGGGTAAATCTCTCATTTCATGTAATTCTGCCAAGTTATCTGAAATGATTAAATAAACAGAGCACGTAGTAGAATAAGAGGGTTGTCCATTGTCCTTCACCAGGATGACGAGGTTTTGCTTCACTGCGTCAGATTCATAAAGATCACGTTTTATCCTGATTTCTCCATTGTGCAGATCAATAACGAAAAGTCCCGGATCCGTCGATTTCACTATCTGATATGACAGCCACGCGTTTTGTCCAGAGTCGGCATCGACTGCGATTACCTTGGACACTAGGGACCCCACATTAGCAGTTTTGGGGACCAAGTCAGTCATAAAAGAGGTCCCCGACTGAACAGGGTATAATATCTGTGGAGGATTATCGTTTAGATCTGTAATGAAGACACTCAAAGTTACATTGCTGCTTAGCTGTGGTGAGCCATTGTCCTGGGCAACTATTTTAACTTTGAAGTCTCTGAACTGCTCATAATCAAATGACCTGACAGCATGTATCACCCCACTGTCCCGGTTAATTGATAAAAAAGAAGTTACTGGCATCCCGTTGACCTCACTGGGAAATATTGAATAGGAGACTGTACCATTCTGATTCCAGTCCGGATCTATAGCTATAACAGAGCAAATGGAAGACCCTGGGATATTATTCTCCGAAACATAAGCAACGTATGATTGTTGATTGAATGTCGGATGATTGTCATTAACATCAGAAACTGAAAACCGAAGTATCTTAAAAGAAGAAAGAGACAAGGTTCCCTCGTCGGTTGCAGTAATTGTGATATTGTATTCTGAAACTGTTTCACGGTCCAGTTCCGTTTCAGTAACCAAAGAATAATAATTTTTAATTGATGGGACTAGTCTGAACGGAATATGTTGAGGAATCGAACAAGTAACCTTGCTGTTTTCCTCAGAGTCCCGGTCTTGTACATTTATAATAGCAACTTCTGTGCCAGGCGAAACGTTTTCGGGAATTGGATTGATCAGAGATTTTATATAAATAACAGGAGGATTGTCATTTAAGTCCGTAATTTGAATAATGACTTTGCTTTGTGAGGCCAGTCCAGCTCCGTCTTTGGCTTGAATGCGAATTTCAAAGACTGAACTCTCTTCAAAATCAATCGGTCCTTTCACAAAAATCTCTCCCGTTCTGCGATCAATCCGAAATAATTGTTTAGCTTTGTCAGAGATATGACTGAATGCATAAATTACCTCTCCATTTGCGCCCTCGTCTTTATCCGTGGCACTAACTCTCACAACAAATGTGTCTTCTGGTGAATTTTCGGTGAGACTGACTTTATAGACGGCCTGTGTAAACACGGGGACATTGTCATTTGAATCTAACACAGTAACTTGTATAACCGCAGTACCAGACTTCTGAGGATTACCTCCGTCTACAGCAGTCAGCAACAAAGACAGTTCGTGCTGCTTTTCTCGATCCAATTCAGTCTCCAATACGATTTCGCCGTATTTACCTCCGTCAGGGCTAGACTGAACAGCTAAAACGAAATGATCATTTGAACTAAGTACATAACTCTGCAGCGAATTGATTCCAATGTCTGAATCGTGGGCCTCATCCACAGGAAAACGAGTTCCTTTGACGGCCGATTCCCTTATTTCCAATTTTATAGTGTCCATAGGAAATTTTGGTGCATTGTCATTTATGTCTTGAATTTCGACTACAATACGATGCAGCTCCAAAGGATTTTCTAGGACAAACTCAAAATCTAGAGCACATGAAGCCTTTTGTCCACACAGCTCTTCCCTGTCTATCCTTTCATTCACAAGCAAATCTCCTGTATCCATGCTAATATCACAGTACCTTTTGCCTCCTTGAAAATCTATGCGGGGTTTCCGAGCTGCGGCTTTTTTGCTATCCAGTCCCAGATCTTGAGCTAGACTTCCAATAAGAGATCCGATTTTCATTTCCTCCGGTACAGAGTATCTAACGTCAGCAAGAGACCCGAGCACGGCCACAAAAGACAAGATGAAACAATGTACCTGACAGGAACCGAAGACTTTATATTCCATCCCTACTCCTTGTCGACTCTCCTTTTTCTATTGTATTCCTTTTCGGATTTTCGGCACGATTCGTCGCTTTTGCGGTCTTCAGACTTCAGTTTTACGCGATGACAGAACGAATAAGGAAAACGGGTAAGAAGCTTAGAGGAACTATGGTGATGTGAGCCCTGTGCTTTAGTGTGGTGTAACTGGGAGTTTTTGAGTTCTGGTGCCTGCTTGGTAAATAGTGACACAGTGCGTTATAATCGAGAATTGCGTCCTTATATGTGAAATAAATTATTCTGCCATTATATTTATCACTAACTGATGTGTCTTTTTAGGATTTTAAAGTTTTAGAACAACCGGGTGCATTAAATAATAAGGTCTCATAAGTTCCGAAACTTCTTAGGACATCATTTCTGAACCGCAATAATAATAATTTAAAACGGCTTGTTTCACATTGTAAAGCACATTTAAAGCGCCTCACACATGCACACTAATCGACTGTTTTAGGGTCACATTGCTTATTCGTATACTCATAATTCAAATTATTTAATATCGCGAACATTAAAGCGTAACTTAAAATGCACAAATCGATTAATAACGAAATTCAGCAATTCAGGTGCAAAAAAAGAAATAGGCTCCACGCAATATTTATTTCCGATAATCTCGTACAAATCTTGAAAAAATAGCTCAATTAGAAAAAAACAGCTTTTTGTCAAAAACAAGAGGTTATTTATTATGTACTGTATGTATTCAATCCCAGTGACCGGAGAAAGATATCCTCTACGTTTGCATATTGTAGTCTTGTCTTTATAGTTCAAACTCCCACAGAGTGAACAGCAACAAAGGATATCTTATTAAATAGTGAAATACTCAAATGGAATGTATTTAAATTGATTACTTTAACTTCAAAAAGAAATTCAACTGTAAACATTTTACATATTATATGCAATCCCACCTTCTGTTCAGTACGCACAAAGCGATCAAACTCTCGTTATCTCTCAGTTCTTAGATACTATACACAATCTTGTTTACGTTGTGCGTGTACACTATACTGTACACTTACAATCTTGTTTACGTTGTGCGTGTACACTATACTGTACACTTACAATCTTGTTTACGTTGCCCCCGAGTTTCTCTTCCAGTATGTGCTTTTTTATTGTTATTTTCTTAAATTAGTATATTTTTTACATTACTGTAGCTTCGCAATCGTTCCTTGACGCATGCATGCATGTACGTTTTATACAGTAAACTCTTTGTCGCCGCCCAGATAATGAAGTCTGTAAGCGAAGCATAATAATGCACACAGTACATAATGCCAAACCTACCTTATTGACCTTACGCACGATCCAGCTACAGTGTAAGTTACAACAAATTACTGACAACACAGAACAAAACTGATTTAAGATTGCAAAACAACTGACTTGTAAATCCATAACAGTACACAGACAAAGGTGAGAAGCGATCACAATAAAGATCTCAGATATCTTTAAAACGTAGCTTTAAAAGTTTCATTCCTTTTGTTTCCTCATAAACAAAAAAGATCGTTTAAAAAAGGAATCACAAATAGGGAGAATTATTGAATTCCATACAAAATAAATGTAAACGAGCAATTTGTGATACAGCGAATCAATGCTCCATGCCGATTTATAACGATACGTTTAATTATTGACGTATCACCTTACGAAAATTAATAATAAAAGAGTACATTTTAACATATTAGTGGAGACATAACCTGTAAATACACAATACAAAAAATAAAAGGATAACTACCTGTAATGACTCTTCAGTTCCATTCTGCACATCCAGCTCAGGGGATCCATTTTTATTTATTTTACAATCTGCAGGCAACGTGTTCTCATTGTATGATCTGACGAACTTGAAGTCGCTTGTGCTGGAGCCGGTTGTTAAGAAAGCGTCATAGTTGTATGAATGACGCAGCGTTCCCGTCCCCACAACGTCTGCATAGCTGGTTGGGAAATATGCGCTGGGGATAGCAACTGCACCGTCCAGCAACAACCTGCGTTTTCCCCTTTGACAAAATCTGACTGCAATGATTACTACAATAAAAGTGAGGAAAAAGAATGAAACTGCAGCCAATGAAATAATCAAAATTACTGTCAAGTGCGTATTGTTCTCCCGAGTGGATATATCTTTCAGTTCTGGCACATCAGCCAAATTATCTGAAATTAATAAATAAACAGAACATGTTGTCGAATGAGAGGGTTGTCCATTGTCCTTCACCAGGATGACGAGGTTTTGCTTCATTGCGTCAGAATCAGAAATATCTCGCTTTGCCCTGATTTCTCCATTGTGGAGACCAATAGTGAAAAGTCCCGGATCCGTCGATTTCACTATCTGATATGACAGCCAGGCGTTTTGTCCAGAATCTGCATCGACAGCGATCACCTTGGAAACCAGAGAGCCCGCGCGGGCTGCTTTGGGGACAACCTCAGTCATGAAAGAGCTCCCCGACTGAACAGGGTACAATATCTGAGGAGAATTATCGTTTTGATCCGTTACAAAAACACTCACAGTCACATTGCTGCTTAGCTGTGGAGAACCACTGTCTTTGGCAACAACGTGTACTTTGAAGTTTCTCAGCTTCTCGTAGTCAAATGGTTTGACAGCGTGTATCACACCATTGTCTCTATTAATAGATAAAATTGATGCTACAGGCGCCCCATTTATGTCTTCAGACATCAAGGAGTATGAAACAGTGCCATTCTGTAGCCAGTCGGGGTCACTTGCAATAATAGAACATATGGATATTCCTGGAGTGTTATTTTCAGTCACAAACGTACTGTACGATTGTTGACTAAAAATCGGCGCATTGTCATTTGTATCTGAAATACGTAACTGTAAGGTTTTTGAAGAGGAAAGTGGAGGGATACCCTCGTCTGTAACGGTAATTGTAATGTTGTATTCTGAAACGTCTTCACGATCTAGTATGCCTTCAGTTACCAAGGAGTAATAATTTTTGATAGAGGGTTTTAATCTGAATGGTGCGTTTTCCTGAATGGAGCAACTAACTTTACTATTGGTGCCAGAGTCTTTGTCTTGTATATTTATGATAGCTACTTCCGTGCCGGATGGAGAGTTCTCGGGAATAGGAGTGTTCAGAGATTTAATCAATACTGCTGGTGCGTTGTCATTTATGTCAGTAATGTGAACAAGCACTTTGCAATGTGCTGCCTGTCCAGCTCCATCTTCTGCTCTAATGCGAAATTCAAAGAATGGGGCCTCTTCAAAATCTATAGGTCCTGTCACTTTAATTTCTCCTTTTATGTTATCAATAGCGAAGGAATTTTTAGCTTTGTCTGGTACGTGAGTAAATTCATATGTTACTTCACCATATGGGCCCTCGTCTTTATCGTTCGCAGTTACCTGGACTACAACTGTATCCAACGGAGCGTTTTCATCCAGACTGACTTTATAGACGGCCTGTGTAAACACGGGCACATTGTCATTGGCGTCTAGCACGGTGACTTGGATAACTGCAGTACCAGAGCGCTGTGGTGTGCCTCCATCATATGCAGTCAGGGTTAAGGAAACCTCTGCCTGCTTTTCACGATCCAGTTCGTTTTCTAAAACTATCTCACAGTATTTACCCCTGTCCGCGCTCGTGTGTACAGCCAACACAAAATGGTCATTTGCGGCCAGCGCGTAGCTCTTCACCGAATTGATTCCTATATCTGAATCGTGGGCCTCATCAACCGAGAAGCGAGCTCCTCTGTCTGCAGATTCTCTTATCTCCCGTTTTAAAACATCTCTGGGAAAAACGGGTGAGTTATCGTTAATGTCTTGAATTTCCAGTATTATACGATGCAATTCGAAAGGATTTTCAAGAAACAGCTCAAAATTCAGAGCACACGAAGGCCTTTGCCCGCAAAGTTGCTCCCTGTCTATCCTTTCATTCACAATCAGTTCGCCGGTTTCCAGTTTGATATCGCAATACCGTCTACTCTCTTGAAAATCAATGCGGGCTCTCCGAGCTCTCAAAGCTTCAACATTGAGTCCCAGATCCTCTGTAAGCTTTCCGATCACGAATCCGCGCTTCATTTCCTCCAGAACAGAGTAGCTAATATCTCCTAAACATAGCTGAATGATAACAGTAAAGAAGGCAAGACAGTATACCTGCTGTGGTAGGAAGTCCCTTTTGTTTTTCATCTTCATCTCCAGGTTTGTTGCTCTTCTCTATAACTGCCCTTCTATTTTATTCATGGATTGTTCTCCTTTATTTTCGAGCGAATACTTTTTTTCCAGCAAACACAAAGAAAGAGAATAAACCCAGCCGTCTCACCGACTTAAAATGATTACTATCCGGCCGAGCGCTTACGAACGGAGAAGTGGGAGGATTTTCATTTTTATCTCCCTTGTTGTTAAATAGCGACACGTTGCGTTGCACTTGAAAACAGCAGACAATCTGTGCTGTTCAACTCCACTCTAACATGACACACAGCGCGGGAGATAATATTTCACACGGCTGGCGGAAACACTTAACAGGGCATGTGGTTTTACCCCTCTGAAAATACGCTTCATTCGTAAAAACAATGTACGAATTACCCTCCTATGAAATATTGTTTATTGTTTTGAAACATCCATACCTGTTTATTTCCCAAACATGCCAACATATAAAAATACAGACAATACAATGTAAATCAATATCCTGTTGTACAGCTTTGACTGGTTCAGTATAGAAGCATATTAAAATCAGTATATCGGTATACTCTGTATATCTCTGTTATAAGACTTAACAGGGTTGCAGGTTATCGCCCTTTGGCGTGTATTTGTATTTCCTAACGGAATACGCAGAGTTACTGAACAGGACAGCAACATCAAAGCTTGACTATACCTTTCGTGTTCAAACAGGAAATTAGGCATTTTTTGTTAAAAACAAAACAAAAAGCACACTTAACCCTCCATCTACTCTTTTCAGTAACTGCTTTACGCTTACATTGTATCAGTGCGCCTGATCCCAGTGTGGGAGATACAGAACGAAAGCGGGATTCCATTCAACAGGACGCTAGCCCGACGCAGGGCACACATACTGTACATCAGTCACACCGGTGCAAACGGGCCGCATTCCAGAGACGCCAGTTAACCAAAACACCCTGTCTTTGGCCTGGGAGAGAAAACCGGACCACTCCTAAATGAGCAAACTCCGACACGGGGAGAAACGGCAGACACAAACAAAAGGCGTTCCAGGCCGAAATAGACGCCTGGACCCAGCTGTGAAGCGGCGCAACCCAAACTACCACGCAACCCTGCCGCCCAACAGAAAGAAAAAAAACCACGGAGAAAGCTAATACCGCAAAATGAGAATAAAACCATTATAATACTTTGCGAAAGCAGCACCGTTCTTGTATATACTTTGAGGAGATCTGATTCTTAGCCCAATCTCCAGCACACTGTCAAATGCAAGGACTTCCTCTTTCAGAAGACTGGCAGTTAGGCAACAAAAAACTAGTACATTATGACTAAGCTATGAATAAAGCTTCTGTTGTTGGAAATGTACGATAATTTCTGACTCCTGTCTGCACCTACTAGAACACCGAACCTTATGTACAGCTTTCATTGTTCTATTTAGTAAATATTTGAAAACAAACTTATTTTCATTTGAAATTACAGGCTCGCTGTCCCTTTCTTGTATATTACTTTCTTTAGTACGAAAACGGAGACACGTGTTAAGGTTCTCTTAACAGTATATTTTCACTAAAATATGTGACTAAATTAATTTACAACTAAAAAGGTCCGATATATGAAATAAAGTATTATTGTTAACGGTAGTAATAGTTGTAGTAATATGAGAAATAAGAAAGAAAAAGCATTAGGAAATCCAGTAATAATTACAAATCAAAAAGTACAGACGATAAAAACATTAAATGACGCATTGAATTTACTCAATATTACATACGATACATTTTGAACTGATTATTACAGCAAACAGCTTATTCATAAAGAACTCTGGGTAACTTTATTAAATACTGTTCCTCGATTTAAAAAATCAATGTGCATAATAAACAAAATTAAAGATAAATACCTGTGACGATTCTTCTGATAGGTTTCCAGAATTACATTGCTGTTCATTCGGTATCTTTTCACCTGTTTTGTAAGTTTGCTCAACCGGTAAAGTGTTCTCATTGTAAGTCCTGGCGAATTTGAAGTCGCTCGTGGCAGAGCCCGTTGTTAAGAAGGCGTCATAGTTGTAAGAATGACGCAGTGTTCCAGACCCCTCGACTTCCGCATAGTTGGGTGGGAAAAACGCACCGGGAATGGCGACTGCACTGTCAAGAAACATCCTGGGCTTCTCTCCCCGGCAAAATCTGACCGCCAGAATAATTGTAATGAAAATAAAAAAAAGGGATGTAACTGCAGCCAGAGCGATAATCAAATACGTAGTTGTGTTTGACATTTTCTCTGAGTGGGTATTGAGATTATTCAGTTCTGAATTAAAGTCTAACACGTCATCAGAAATCAATAAATTCATAACACACGTGGACGAATGAGGGGGTTGTCCATTGTCCTTCACCAACACAACAACGTTCTGCTTTATTTTATCAGACTCAGAGATATCCCGCTGTGTCCTAATTTCACCATTGTTGAGACCAATGCTGAAAAGTCCGGGGTCAGTCGATTTCACTATCTGATATGACAGCCACGCGTTTTGTCCAGAGTCGGCGTCCACGGCTATTACTTTGGAAACCAGGGATCTCGCTTGGGCAGATCTAGGTACCATTTCAGTCATAAAAGAGTTTCCTGACTGACTGGGATATAAAATCTGAGGAGAATTGTCATTCTGATCTGAAATGAAAACAGTCACAAATACATTGCTGCTGAGCTGCGGTGAACCATTATCTTTGGCTTCAACTTGTACATTGAAGTCTCTGAACTGCTCATAATCAAATGATCTGACAGCGTGTATCACCCCAGTGTCTCGGTTAATAGATACAAACGAGGATATCGGCAGTCCATTCAGCTCGCCGGGTATCAAAAAATACGAGACAGTCCCGTTTTGTTTCCAGTCGCTGTCTTTTGCCATAACAGAACAAATTGAAGAACCAGGAGTGTTATTTTCACTGACAAAGGCGCTGTATGATCGCCGATCAAATTCTGGAGGATTGTCATTCACATCGGAAATTGTTATTTGTAGGTTTTGAGAAGCTGAAAGGGGGGGTGAACCCTCGTCAGTGACAACAATTGTGATGTTGTATTCTGAAACGGCCTCTCGGTCCAGATGCTCATCAGTTAACAAAGAGAAATAATTTTTAACTGAAGGCTTTAATTTAAAAGGGACATTCTGCTGAATGGAACATTGAGTCTTGCTGTTGCTCCCGGAGTCCTTGTCTTGAATGTTTATGATGGCTACCTCTGTACCAGGTGGAGAGTTTTCAGCAATAGGTGTGTTCAGAGATTTAATCATTATTACTGGAGCGTTGTCGTTCACATCGCCAACTTCCACGAGAACTTTGCAATGAGCTGCCTGTCCGGCTCCGTCTTTGGCTTTGATACGGATTTCATAAAAGGAAGATTCCTCAAAATCTAAAGGTCCTTTCACCTTAATTTCACCGCTAATCGGATCTATTCCAAACACAGTTTTATCTTTGCCTGAAATGTGGCTAATTTCATATGTTACTTCCCCATTTGCGCCCTCGTCTTTATCGTTCGCAGTTACTTGGACTACAACTGTATCCAAGGGAGCGTTTTCATCCAGACTGACTTTATAGACGGCCTGTGTAAACACGGGCACATTGTCATTGGCGTCCAGCACGGTGATTTGGATAACTGCAGTACCAGAGCGCTGTGGTGTGCCTCCATCATATGCAGTCAGGATTAAGGAAACCTCTGCCTGCTTTTCGCGGTCCAGTTCGTTTTCTAATACTATCTCACAGTATTTACCTCTGTCAGCGCTCGTGTGTACAGCCAACACAAAATGGTCATTTGCGGCCAGTGCGTAGCTCTTCACTGAATTTATTCCTATATCTGGGTCGTGGGCCTCATCGACTGAGAAGCGAGCTCCTCTGTCTGCTGATTCTCTTATTTCCAGTTTTATAAAATCACTGGGAAATGCTGGTGCGTTGTCATTGATATCTTGCACTTCCACCACAATACGATGCAATTCCAAAGGGTGTTCAAGAAATAATTCAAAGATAATAGCACAGGAAGGCTTTTGACCGCATAGCTCCTCCCTATCTATCCTTTCATTCACGATTAATTCACCCGTTTCCATTCTGATATCACAATACTGTCTACTTTCTTGAAAATCTAAGCGAGCTTTCCGAGCAGATAGTTGTTTAAGATCGAGCCCCAGATCCTGTGCAAGTCTTCCAATCACGGCACCGCGTTTCATTTCCTCTGGAACAGAGTAACTAACATCTCCCGTACTGAAGTGAGCCATAACAACAAGGAAGGAGAAACAGCGTACCTGCCATAATACGGAGATCCCTTGTTTTGCCATTCCGTTTTCTAGGCCGACTGGATAAATTCCTGTAAAATGTTATCTTTGTATCCGTCACAGCTGGTTTTCATGCGCAAGTACCTGATATTTAGAAGGATAACGACCTTACTTCAGATGACACAAAGAAGAAAGCAATCTCAGCGCTTCTCAAACTAGAATAAGAGGAGCAGCTACTAAAACACAGCTTTGAATAAAGGGAACAGTGGGAGTATTAGTAAGTTGAAATGTCCAGCTGGTGAACAGCGACACATCGTGTTTTAAGAGAAAAAGTATCACAATTTGCCGATGTGCAATGCTTGGCACTCATGTAAGAGATGCATGTACTGTAGCAGTAGAGTTTTATAACATGCATAACTGGAGAACGGAACTGAAATATGTCACAGAATTGGTTCAAATGGGTAACAACGTCAGAGTGCGGACTACAAAGAAGCTAGCAGAGCCTAATTAGTTGAAAGGTTGACGCAAAACTCAACATTACAGTTGTTCAACGGCTTTGTTTTCTCTTTCTTTTGCTCTGTGTGGATTTAATCTCTTCTTATAATTTATAATGTATGCCTTGGGTTGCTATATAGAACCATGCCTCTTTTGAAAAGGTTGAAAACAGTTGTACTACATATAAAAAATATGATGTGTTTTCGTATGTACATGCATATGCATATACATGTACTGTATATCCATCTTGTATCTATTCCGAATGCACAGTGCGAGTTTTAAAATGTATTTCACTTCGTGTCTTTTATACACCTAATTATATTTTCTAAAATTAATACTTTCATCTGTTACAGTTTCAAGACTCTGCGGATTACGTTTATATCCAAAATTGTCATCTTATTCTTTGAGAGACACAAATAAAATAACTAGCCGCTAAAGTTGCCACTGTGATGAGAGACTGTCTTCAAAACACAAAAGTGTGCACAGAAAATTAAGTATTGAGAGAAATTGGTAAAATACAGAAATAAACATTCTCAAGATCAATCGACGCGAAAATTGTGGATTTTCAGCGTTTTCCTATGAAATAATATTAAATATAATAACAAATCTGAAGATCGACAATAATCAGAAACACTGGAAAGGCAGGTAAACCGCATTTAAGACTTCCAACGGCACATATGTAAGTAGACAACGTTATAACATAAAAACAAGTTTCTGCGGTTACCCTTCGTGAAAAACACATGGCTAAATATGTACAAGGTAGCCGCAAAATATATAAAGAATACGTGCTTACTTCAACTGATTCATTTGATTCGCATCCAGTTCTACCTTCCGGGTCCATCGGTGAGTCTTCTGTAATTCTGCTTGGCTTGTCAACTGGTAAAGTGTGCTCATTGTAAGACTTCACGAACTTGAAGTCGCTCGTGGCAGAGCCCGTTGTTAAGAAGGCGTCATAGTTGTAAGAATGACGCAGAGTTCCAGAACCCTCGACTTCCGCATAGTTGGGTGGGAAATACGCACCGGGAATGGCGACTGCACTGTCAAGAAACATCCTGGGCTTTCCTCCCCGGCAAAACCTGACTGCCAGTATACTTATTATAAAGATAAGGAAAAGGAAAGAAACTGCAGCCAATGCGATAACCAAATACGCGGTCATGTTCGAAACATTCTCGGATTCTGTACTGTGACCTTTTATTTCTGAAGTGTAATCCAATATATTGTCAGAAATAAGCAAATTCACAGCACATGTCGAAGAAAGAGATGGTTTTCCATTGTCCTTCACCAAGATAACAAGGTTTTGCTTCATGGCATCAGATTCGGAAATGTCCCGCTGTGTCCTGATTTCTCCATTGTGGAGACCAATAGTGAAAAGTCCCGGATCAGTCGACTTCACTATCTGATATGAGAGCCACGCGTTTTGTCCAGAGTCGGCGTCCACGGCTATTACTTTGGAAACCAGGGACCTCGCGTGAGCAAATCTGGGAACCATCTCCGTAATAAAAGTTTTTCCTGATTGAACAGGATACAAAATCTGTGGAGAATTATCATTCTGATCTGATATAAATATACTCACAGTAACGTTGTTACTGAGCTGTGGAGAGCCGTTGTCTTTGGCTATAACCTGCAATTTGAACTCTCTGAACTGCTCATAATCAAATGATCTGAGCGCATGTATCACCCCAGTGTCTCGGTTAATGGACACTAAGGAGGAAGTCGGCAGGCCACCGACTTCACTGGGAAACAGATAATAGGAAACACTGCCGTTCTGTTTCCAGTCATTGTCTCTTGCATTTACAGCACAAATGGACGAGCCAGGAGTGTTATTTTCACTGACAAAAGCACTGTACGATGGCTGATCAAATACTGGTGGATTGTCATTCACATCTGAAATTGAGATCTGTAAGGCTTTGGAATCAGAAAGAGGTGGCGAGCCCTCGTCTGTAACGATAATTGTGAAGTTGTATTCTGAAACTAGTTCACGATCCAGTTCCCCTTCAGTCACCAAGGAGTAGAAATTTTTAACAGAAGGTATTAACTTGAAAGGAACGTCTTGTTGAATGGAGCACACGACTTTGTTATTGGTATCAGCATCCTTGTCTTCAATGTTTATGATCGCAACCTCTGTACCGGGTGGCGAGTTTTCAGCGATAGGTGTGTTCAATGAACTAATAAAAATAATTGGAGCGTTGTCATTTACATCTGTGATTTCCACAAGAACCTTACAATGAGCTCCCTGTCCGGCTCCGTCTTTGGCTTTGATACGGATTTCATAAAAGGAAGATTCCTCAAAATCTAAAGG